AGATAGATAGATAGATAGATAGATAGATAGATAGATAGATAGATAGATAGATAGATATATGTACATCTTGATGCTGTGTCAATGTTTAGAACTTGTTTCTACCAAGAAGATCAATCAGGTGTCCTTATATCTTTAACATTTCAGGGCCAGTACAAATTTAAGTGCCCAGCTCTAAAGAATGGTACGTTGCATAAGTGTGATGCAGCGTGGTCCTACCAAGAGGTGCGCAGGCTGGCAGTACTGACAACAGAAGAAATGGAGTACTTTGAAGAGAACATCGCCCTCCTAGCTGCCACAGAGTACTGTGAATTTAAAACTGTAAGTGTCCAAGTTAACCTCATTTAGTCAAGAGTTTAGAAGAGAATGGTTGCTCCTACAAAACAAAAAACAATATTTGGGGATAAAATTAAAACCACCTGTGCTGTCAAACAGAAGAATAGGATAAAGAAGGATAATATCAGTCCCATCAGTTTCAGTCATGTGATTCTAAATTTTAAAAAAAAAAGTTTGTATCCAAAAACACTGAACTTCTTTAATATTTGTCATAACAGTGTCCTGGTTGCAAAACCTATGTGGAGAGAGAGGACCTGACCAACCTTAATGTTCAGTGCACAATCTGCACAGCTGACAAGAAGAAAGTGTACCATTTCTGCTGGCAGTGTTTGAAGCCATGGAAAGGTACCGCTCCACGCTCTGACCGCTGTGACAACGATGGATGCATCAATCATGACCTTGAACTTCTCAAGAACTGCAAGACTACCGCTCTCCCTCAAGTTCCAGGGGTCGATGCCTGTCCCTCCATCCGGGCCTGTCCCACCTGTGGTCAGAGGGTGGAGCACGACAAAACAGGCTGCAAGAACGTCATCTGTCCTCGCTGTCAGAAAGAGTTCTGCTTTGTGTGTCTGAAACTCACTCCTGAGTGCTTAAAAACAAGTTCTTACTTCATACCCTGCAGTGATGGTGTGGCTCCCAGACAAACATCAATACCCGTGTGGCGCAGAAACTAAGACACAGCATGCTCTCTGAGTCATTACACATTATCCTTCTGTCCTGTTTAGACCTTTTCATCCAGAGATTTTAATTGAGAGCATTGAGAGAAGCCAAAGCTTTTACAGCCTGACTTGTTCATGTGCATTAAACAGTGGTAAACTATGTTTGTTGTATTTTTTTTATGTTGTACAACAGACTTTCTGAAATAGTTTTCTTTGAATTAATATCTGTTAAAAAATAGTTAGTCATTGATAATCAAGTCACGTAACAAATCATCCCTGTAAATAAACAGAATACGCATTCATTCAGTGTTTGACACAAAACATATATGTATATATATATATATATATATATATGTGTGTGTGTGTGTGTGTGTGTGTGTTTGTTAACCAGTTTCAGCTGCTTTGGTGTAAATGAAATTAACAACAGGTGCTCTAGGAGGGCCAACAATGAGACAACCACAAAATGATGGGAATGATATTACAGGTGGAGGCTGCTGATATTTTCCCTCCTCATCTTTTCTGTTTTTTTGTTTTTAAAAACTGGTTTTCATTTGGCTAGGGTCAGTGTCACTGCTGGTAGCGTGAGGTGATACTTGCACCCTACAGAGACAGTCCAACTCCTCCCGTATGACACAAAACTACTTTCCACTGCCAGAAGGTTTGCTGTGTCTCCCAGCACAGTCTCAAGAGCAGGGGTGTCCAACTCCAGTCCTCGAGAGCTACTGTCCTGCAGCTTTTAGATGCATCCCTACTCCAACAACGTTCAGTCAAATGGTTGGATTACCTCTTCAGCATGCCATCAAGTTTGGCTAAGGCATGATAACAAGCTATTCATTTGATTCAGGTGTGTCGGGAATAGGATGCATCTAAAAGCTAAAATCAGAAACAGATTTCTTGTGGGTGGCCTTAGGACCTGACGTCCTTAGTGGGTCCTTTGCTCACAGCCTGGCATTGTGTACTCTGAATGGTTTTTGCCATTAAATACCAGAATACTTACAAAGTGATTTTTCTAAACCATCTCCTTTTCAAATAATTCCACTATGATTTCACTCCAGATGTACCCATTATTCCTGTTGTTCTATCTTCACTAGCTGACTGGCCCATGTTTGTGCTGAAAAATTATAGGAGTCAAAGTAAAATATTGAAATGCACTATTTTCTCTTTTTTTTTTTTATCCCATTTATTATATTTCAATAAGGAAGTAAAATATTTTTAAGTAATATGTATTGAATTCACATTCATGTAACCATGTTAACTTTATCCTGAATAATTTTCCTTCAACTCAGCCCTTGTCACCAAAATTATTTTTTGTAAATTTGTCAAATTTAAGTTTAAATCTGATCTCAACTAGGTCAATTTCTTATTGTGTCCAGAGATAAAGCCATAATACAACATATGGACAACATTTTAGCCCTGATTGGAATCAAAACAGTGCTGTAAAACATGTATTTTATTTTATTAATTCAGAGCCAAAGTTAAGCAAATCAATATATAAATGGCAAAGAAATGGCAACAGATGAGCTCAGAGGGCTCTGCTGAAGAACACAATACATTGCAATGCTGAAAAAGGAAATGAACAGCAGATTGAAAAGTAATCAAGTAATACTGCAATTAAAATCAGGCTTTAAACATATAAACACACAAAAGTTTACACTGAAATATTTTTAACCAAACAAATGTGAAAATAAAATGAAATAGATGATACACTACAAGACTGTATAAAAAATGAAACAATTTGGTGTAGCATTTAAAAATTTTACACCAAATAAGTCCTCTAATAAATTGTAACTTAAGCATTTTGCATTAACAGAAGTAGTTGTTAAAAAGAATGAAAAAGAGAGAAACACAATGCTAAAGCTACATTTTTTAAAAACAACAGTGGAAAAATGAGCAGTATTATAACACTGTAATTTTAGTATCAATCATATTCATGAATGAAAATTTGTATTTTGCTGACATTTAAAACGTTTTGTCCAAAGTGACCTCTTCATCTATTTCAAGATTTAAACTTCTTCTAATATTTCTTTGACTCTCTATCCATTTTGTCATGTCTTGTGTGGTTTCATCCGTAGTTTTCTTTATGACGATCTTTGTCTGACTGTCGTCTTTACAAGCACTATCAATTTCTGTATGTTCTTCGTCAATTACTTTAACAATAGGACTTGAGTTCGTTGAACCACGTCCTCCTTCTGTAAGTTGCTGAGGTCCAGTTCTTGCTTTTGGTTGAAAACACTCCAGTTCTATATTTTCATCACTGCCTCCTTCCTGCTTCTCTGTTAGTCTTTCCTTTGTTATCTTATTTCCCTCACTCTGATTCAGTTTGGTGTCACATTCATTTTTCTGTTCTTTGCTCTGTATCTGCACACCACCAACACTTTGTGATGTACGGGTAACACTGATAATCTTCTCAGCTGTTTTCTGCCCTCTACCATCTAATCTCATGCTAACCTCATGCTTCACAGCTTCACTGTTGTCAGGATTTTCAATGGTGATTTCACTCATTTGAATGTATTTATCAGCTTCTTTCGTGTCTTTCCTGTCATTCCTCACACTCCTCCTCTGTGTTTCTTTATGTGCTGAATGTGTAACATCATGATCACTGACTTTACCCATCACATCTTCTTCTATTGGTTCATTAAGAAACCTGCTAATGCGCCTCTGTTCACTCATCTGATTATCTTTGGGTATGATTTGTATTCTGTCACTGCCTGTTTGGGTGTCCTGAGATCCATGAAAGAGGTCATATCTAGTTAACAGGTTTCTTTGTCCTGTCGTTACGTTATCAGCTTCGACACTTATAGATTTAGAGCTGTCATCATTTCCAATATTTTGTCTACCTCCCCCATATTCTCCAGTATCCTTTCTAGAATCGCCTGATCCTTCACCACCCTGATAATCTGTGTGGCTTTTATGGTCTGCTGTCAGGGACAGCCGTTCCATCTCCTTGACCTCTTCACCAACATTGTCTGAGGGATGAATTTGAAATTTGTTATAAAAAGCATTTCATGCACACCAACAAAACATTATTGGACAGCATTATAAAAAGATTTGTCCTTACATTTCTTCTCTCTGTAAAAAAGAAGATATGCATTTTCAGATCTAAAGAAGAAAAGAAATTAATTAAATTTTCAAATAAATCAAAATATGTAGCTCAGGCTTCAATACAATGGTTTGAAAAGTATTCATATCCCTTGAACTTTTCCACCTTTTGTCACTTTACAATCATAAACCTATTTGGATTTTATGTGATAGTCCAACACAAAGTATCACATAAATTGAGAAGTTGAAGGAAAATGAAACAAGATGTTCAAACGCTTTTGCAAATATAAATCTGAAAAATGTGGCATTCATTTGTATTCAGCTCCCCTGATTCAATACCTTGTCAAACCCCTGTCACTGCAATCAGAGCTGCCAGATTTTTGGGGATATGTTGTACATCTACAGACTGCGATCTTTGCCCTTTCTCCTTTGCAAAATGGGTCCAGTTCAGTCAGATTAAATGGAAAGCAACTACAGTCTTTAGGTCTTGCCACAGATTCTAAATAATATTTGGGTCTGGACTTTGAGTGGGCCATTCTAAACCATGAACATGCTTTGATCTAAACCTAAACCAGTGTGGGCTGAGGCCTCCTATTGGGCTGCCATGGTACTGCAGGCAGGCTGCAGCGATAACAGAAATTCAGTTTGAAATTACTCATTCGTGTACTGTTACATATTTATATACAGTGGCATCATTAGGCCTATTTTAGGGGTGCTGAAGCCTCCCTAAAATATCCTTAAGCCCCCCTAAATAATTTGGTGTTTAAATTTTTTCTTTTTTTTTACACTTGCTCTAGTTTTTTGTTATGTTTTTTTTTTTACAGAAATTGCAGACAAATTCAATATAAAGACGCAGGAATATGAGTTTAAATAAATAATAATATAAACCTGTCAATATTCACTTAGATATGATCTTAAGTCTCTTGGTCCCTAACACTTTACAGTGTTAAGGTAGGGTCAGTGCTTTGTTATCCAATCCGTTCCAGTTGTTCACAGGTAACGCCCACATTACTGAAAATCCAGTCCATGTTTTCACTGCTACTTTACAGTCGGCTGGATCTACACCTGCGGACATACTAGCTCACATACTGCACACAGAAAGACAACATGGATATACGCAGGTTTTTCAAGAAAGTAAGTCTTCATCACTGTTGGTAGTAACAATTAGTTAGCTCCAGCCTTTCTGTCACTTGTTTTAGCTCTGAAAGATTGAGCTGAGCTCATTCAGGTATGGTTATCATCAGTGGAAATAATAAAAATACACTAATAATAATCACTCCTCTATCCCTATTAACCTGTAGGAGTCAGGGCAGAGGAGTACAGAGAGTGAGAGGGGAGAGACCTCTACTGGAGCAGTGAGTCAAGGAATTCACACTGTTAGTTACTAGTTACTAGTGTCATTGTATCTGAAATGACAAAGTCTAAAATCTGTGCCATCATGGCAGATGAGGCAAGGGATGAAAAGGCAGAGCAGTTAGCGGTTTGTGTCAGGTATGTGTCAGAGGGGGCAGTGAAAGAGCGTTTCCTAGCACTTGCAGAGATAAAATCATTTGATGCCCAGTCCATTGCAAATGAGCTTCAGTAGCAGATCCAAAACTATGGTCTTGCAGAGCTTAAGTGTGTAGCACAAACATTTGATGGCGCAGCCGTTATGAGTGGCTCCACTGGAGATGTACAAGCACATTTTAGAAGGCTCTATCCTGAGGCTATCTATGTGTATTGTTATGCTCATCAACTCAACCTGGTTTTGTGCAATACTTGCAAGGCTGTCCCAGAGGCTGTGGAGCTTTTCAGCTTGTTGGAGTGTTTGTATTCTTTCTTTGAAGTTCGTGTTTCTTTCTACTTCTACTCCACGGTTTGGATATTTCTATTCTTTGCCACTTTGCAAAACAATTTATTATATAAAACAATTTTCTGGCTTACATGTAAGGCCAATTTTCACTCATTTCATTTGTAGGACACAAGATCGCAAATGTTTCCTGCGCTAATTTTTGACACGGTATTATTTCTGATTAAGTACCCTTTTAATAAAGAATGGATGAAATAAAAGTTTTTGCATCAGCAGAATGGCATGATATCGTTTTTTGAAATGAGGTATAGTGCATTCAATTCAATGCCACTGCATTCACATGGATATCTACAGTACGCACTCGTGCAAAATCAATAAATATTCGCAAAAAAAAAAACCATTATGTGGATATAAGAAAAAGACAAAAACTTACTTCTCAGTGTTGTCCACCTGGAATGGTTGATAATCAAGCTGTGATGGAAAAAGCAAAGCAACATATGATGCATCTCTTTCTCCTCCTCTGTAATACATAACTGTGCAACATGGCTGTTATGTAATATGTTTTAGCAACAGTGAAGAAAGGACTAACAGTCTTACCTCTGTGACTCCAGCATCATCAAAATTATACCATCTGTCTCCGTGTTCCTCCTCGATCTTGATTCTTGCACTGTAAAGTCCACTTCTCAGATCACCAACATGATCCACAACTGCATA